TCCTATACTTTTGGATTTTACTGTGTCCCTGCACTTGAACTGTCTTTGGGTTAGCAGTTCAAAGGTCTCATGCAGTACATATTCTAGGTTAAAGCACAGGTGAGATACAAGTTGCTTATGGGCAGTTTTTGGGTTTATAAAATAATGCCACTGTTTTGTTTCCTTTATAGGTAAGATTATGCAGGCAGTATCTTGATTGCGAAAGAAAGTTGAGTTCTGTTTAAATATAAACAATGTTATTAAACTAACAGTTTTTTAAAAGTACAAAGCATAAATGTAATTGGGTAAATTCTTAAAGGTTTTTTTCTAGTCATCACTTTCTAAAACCCCCAAGAATAGCTACTGTCCTGATTTATAACATCACAGATTTGCCTGTTTATGGATTTTATGAAATTTAAATTTCATATAAATGGAATTGTGAAATTCTTTTCCTAAGTGTTATATTTGTGACATTTCCTTGCGTTCAGTGTTACTGTTCACTGACCATTTTTGTGTATTACATGAACCTGGTTCCTGTTTTTCCTGAGTTTTTCTAGTTTGGGGCTATTAAGAACGATGGTGCCGTGATAAATTTTGTGGTTCAGTTATTTGTAAACTGGTATTTTACTTGTTATTGATAATAAATTAGATTATTTTGGCCATATGAGTTGTTTTTGGAAATATTTTATTGATGTTGTTTAGGGTTTTTATTTCTCTTTTAAGTTCTCGTGGGGCTTTTTATTATAGGAAGCTACATAATTTGGGGCGAGAGACACAACGTGATTGTCCTGGATTCTTCTTTGGTAAATTTAAAGGTTGAGGCTAGGCAATCTTTCAGTCATTTTCCAGATATCAAATTCTATATATTTTTTCAATTTATACTCAATTTAGAATCCCAGTTTGAAAATTTCCCTCAACAATTAAATCTTTTTTTTTGCTTACTGTAGGTCAGATTCAATGTACTACAATATGTTGTTCCAGAAGTGAAAGACCTTTACAATTGGCTCGAAGTAGAATTTAACCCGCTGAAACTCTGTGAGAGAGTGACAAAGGTAAGCCTTTGTGCTTAGGTTTTGGTGATACCACCATGTAGCCTGCCCTGTTGGCAGTTTTAGGTTGGTTGTGTTTCTGTTAAGAGAGAAACGTATGTCCTATGTATTTGAATTTAGTGCACATTTCATTGTCTTTTTTCTTTATCTCAAGAGAAAAGATATTTCTGATGTGCTAAATAAACTTTTGGAGGTAAATTAGCAGCACGACTAATTTTTAGCCATCGCTGTCAGTCACCTTCAGACAAGTATCAATAGCTTCACATCACATTTTGTATTTGGATTGCGATGTTTTCGTATGTTAAAATTGAAAAAGTTTTGCAGATGTTTTAGTATCTGTTACTTAGAAAGTATAATTTTTTTTCAATTTAATTGGTTTTTTAGGTTCTAAATTGGGTTAGGGACCAACCTGAAAAGGAACCAGAGTTGCAGCAGTATGTCCCACAGCTGCAAAACAATACCATACTCCGTCTTCTCCAGCAGGTAAAAATTTAAAAATGAATGTTATATGTAAGAACTGGAATTTCTCCTCTTGTTTTGATTGCAAAACTGAAAGATTTAGGAATGGCCTAGAATCTGGGAGCCTCCCCAGATTCTACTTCCTGTCCAAAATTAGTCTTATTATATCATGTAATCTGTAACTGCTTTTTTGTTGAAACACTGTCTTGGTGTGTTTTCCCTTGTTAGTAATGTAAGGGTCTGCCTTACTCTATTTAATCCCTGCATTTTTTTTCATTGTCTAAGGTTGCCATGATTTATTAATTCAGACTATTGATGGAAATCTTATTTCTAGGTTTTTGCTCTTAGAAAAACGTTGCAGTGGACATCTTTCATAATGTATCTTTCCATGTTTCTGTGACTTTCCGTAGCATAAGAAGTGGAATAAGTCAGAGTTTACACATTTAAACCTTTAATGGCTCCTGAAAAGATTCTGTTACTGGCCCCTCCTACCAGTAGTACATTAGAAAGCCTTTTCTCCTACTAACACTACGTATTACCAGTCTTTTAACATGTTTTAGTCTGATTTCTTATTTAGATTTGACTGTTAAAGATTTATAATACAGCTTAAATGTTCCTGTGTTGTCTTCCATTTGTTCCATTTGGGTGTTCATTTCAGCATTCATGCGCATTTCATTGACCTGCTTTCTCTTGTACGTGTGAGCAGTGTTATTTCTCATGTGCTATACAAGTGGTCGAAGGTTAATTAGCAGTATAACTTAAATAGTAATGCTGCCAGTCTCCTTCAGACAGATAATTCTATAAAAAACACTCAGATGAATTAGGTAAGTAGCAGGTCTTTATCTACAAATAAGTAACCATTTATTTTTGTTTGTTTTATGAAAGGATTTAAAAAGATTGTGTTTTAAAGCATAGGATTTGGGGTTGAGCGCTTTATTAGAATGGCTAGCTCTAGCAATGTACTGTTAACAGATACTTTGAACTTCAGTTTCTTTTCTCTGAAAAATGGGCATAATTTCTCTACTTCCCATGGTTGTCATGAGACTACACCTAAAAATGCTGAATAAATGATAGCTATTAGTAACCTTGTGTTTTTTATGCAGGTGGCACAAATTTATCAGAGCATTGAGTTTTCTCGTTTGACTTCTCTGGTTCCTTTTGTTGATGCTTTCCAACTGGAACGTGCCATAGTAGATGCAGCCAGACACTGCGACCTGCAGGTATGTGCGACACTGAGGTAGCAGGCCTTTGAGGACTAAAAACACATGTCCTTTGTTTCTCAGCTTTTAGTACAGTGGCACCGTTTTAAAGCTTTACTGAGTGGAATCTTTAGTTTTTGTATTTAACATTATTTTCTCAAATTCAGTTGAAATTTTTTATCAAAAGTCATTCGTGTGTAGAATGACTTCATATATGCATATAGATTTAACTGCCGATAATATTTAATTTTCAAAGGTTCGCATTGACCACACTTCTCGGACCCTTAGTTTTGGATCTGATTTGAATTACGCTACTCGAGAAGATGCTCCCCTTGGTCCTCATTTGCAAAGCATGCCTTCAGAACAGATAAGAAACCAGCTGACAGCCATGTCCTCAGTACTTGCAAAAGCACTTGAAGTCATTAAGCCAGCTCATATACTGGTACGCATCTTTGGGAGAAATGAACTACAGAATTTTTGAGGGGCCCTCATGCTGTGTCTCTCACAAAAAGGTTTGAAATGATGTCTAGGAGAAAGGATTTATTTTATTTTTCCTATTCAGTTATATTTGGTAGGTTTGATATTTTATCAGATGTCTTTATCAGGTATACAGATCATTGAGCTGACTTCCATGATGTAAAATAATAGACTACACAGGCAATATGAGTCCTGGGGGTACAACATGTGATGGCCCCTCAGATAGGGAGTACCATGACTGGGCTTTTCCTTTCTCCTTATGTTTCATTTGTTACGTGTTTTTAGGATTCCTCTTTAGCTTGAACACTTTAAAGTAGGTTTGTTGCAGAGAAAAGTTGACTTAGCAAATAAAGATTTTTCAGCTGTCATTGCTATTAAAGACTGTATAAATATCTAACCAACGTGTTGTATACCAGAAACTAATATAAAGTTTTAAAAAAAAGGTTATAGTAGTAGCACTGTAGCATTTAGTATTGGGAACTTAGTAGCTTAAATAATGTCATCTTCTGTTATTAAATGAAAACATATATAAAAGTAATTTATAAGAATTGTTTAGTAATTTTTTTGATGTCTACTATTATGGTATGTCAGCTTAAAATTTTTTTAATGCATTTGTTTTTGAAGCAAGAGAAAGAAGAACAGCATCAGTTGGCTGTTACTGCATACCTTAAAAATTCACGAAAAGAGCATCAGCGCATCCTGGCTCGCCGTCAGACAATTGAGGAAAGGAAAGAGCGACTTGAGAGTCTGAATATCCAGCGTGAGAAAGAAGAGTTGGAGCAAAGGGAAGCTGAACTCCAGAAAGTACGGAAGGCTGAAGAAGAGAGGCTACGACAGGAGGCAAAGGAGAGAGAGAAGGAGCGTATCTTACAGGAACACGAGCAAATCAAAAAGAAAACTGTTCGTGAGCGTTTGGAACAGATCAAGAAAACAGAACTGGGTGCCAAAGCATTCAAAGATATTGATATTGAAGTATGTAGCATATTGCTTATTAAACTTTTATCTGGATCTCTTAGCATAATCCTTTACCATATACTATTTTATTTTGGGTTATTTGGTTATTTTGGTACACATATTTTATTAAAATCTGAAGTAAGCATTAACATTTTTATATTGCGTTAGGATTTGATTCTAGAAGCAGTGCTCAATTATATTTCTTTTGTATCCTTATTAACGTGTGTGCATTTATATTTTCAGGACCTTGAAGAATTGGATCCAGATTTCATCATGGCTAAACAGGTTGAACAACTGGAGAAAGAAAAGAAAGAACTGCAAGAACGCCTGAAGAATCAAGAAAAGAAGGTAAAGGAAAGGATGGTAGACTTAACATGCCAAATTAAACAAGATTTTATTTAAAACTACATTTGTTTTCATGACATTCAGATCGACTATTTTGAAAGAGCTAAACGTTTGGAAGAAATCCCTTTGATAAAGAGTGCTTACGAAGAACAGAGAATTAAAGACATGGATCTGTGGGAACAACAAGAAGAAGAAAGAGTAAGTTTTTAATTGTAATATTTTTAGACTGTACACTATAATTAAATACTGTGCCAAAAGCGGGACCAGGGTTTCAAAATTGGTTTATTTTGCATTCTTTAGCCAGAAATGTTGCTTTAATGGCTGCATACTAACAGATTGGTGGACAGACAGAAATTTATACAGTAGAGGTTAAAAAAAAATGCAACTTGTAATATACAAAAGCTGAAAAGTCTGGTTTTTAAAAGCAGCTTTATGGAGATATAATTTACATGCCATGTAATTCATCTATATAAGGTAGACAATTGATAGTTTTTAGTATATTCACAGAATCGTTCAACCATCTAATTTTAGAACATACCCCAAAAGAAGCTTGGTACCCATTAGCTGTTACTCTGTGATTCCTTTGCACCACTTGGCTGTAGGCTGCCGCTGATCTTTTCTATTTGCCTATTTTGGATATTACATGTAAATGGAGTCATACAATATGCAGTATTTTGCGACTAAACGGTTCTTTCAGAGTTTCGTTAGTTTGTATTATGTGTACCTAATGATACGAAAGTAAAGGCTTGCAAGTGCTTGTAGTGGTCAAATTGGTAATAAAAAGAAAGTGATCTCATTCTGGTTAAAAAAGGTAACCACAGGCAGGAGACTGTATACATCTGTGGAGTCCTCAGTGAGAGAATGCAGCCCCTTCTTGATTCCATCAGACCGTTGTCATTCTGGGTCTAGTGTTGCCAACTCTTCTAATTTTTTTAGGAGTTGGAATTTTTGTGATAAGTCTCTACTGTATGAAATGAGGAAAAGTGCTGCAGACCAGATGAAATATATGATCTGCTGCAATCACTGCCCTGAAGCCTTCCATTTTTTCACTCGGAGCAAAAAAGGAAAAACCTTAAATCAGTAGTTCATTTTGCCTTAATCTCCAGTTGTTTTTAAGGAAGAAGTGCCTTTAATAATTCAACCATAGTGCTTATTACCATGAGCTATTTATTGTTTACCACATACATTATACTTTTTCCTTTACAAAATTTGCGGCACTATGAGTCTAAATAAAAACTTTCTTACGGATAGCCCAGGACTCTCTTATCCATCTCTGTCCCTGATTGCTTTCCTAGGGACCTGTTGGCACAAATGATAGTTACCTTCCATTATTGTGGCAAGATGGAAGCGTCAAAGGAGCTACTTGTATTCTTCATGAATATCTGTCAGGAATTTGGGGTAAATTAGTAATCAGATAATGAATGCTTTAGAAATTTAACTTTGTATTATGTATTTGCAGATTACTACTATGCAGCTAGAACGTGAAAAGGCTCTTGAACATAAGAATAGAATGTCACGAATGCTTGAAGACAGAGATTTATTTGTAATGCGACTCAAGGCAGCACGGCAGTCTGTTTATGAGGTGAGCTTATGACTTCAGAGAATGTTTATTGTTGAATATTTTGGCTTTTGCCTTAAGGGTTCTTCTTTAACACAGGACATTCTATCTTAAGCTAATATTTATAATGTTATTACTTATCATTCAGTAATACTTTAATAGAAAAATTTTTAAATATTCTCCAGGCTAAGTAGTCAGTCATCACTATATTCTGAAGGTAAAGGTGGACTGCATAAAATTTGCTGTCGATACAAGCTT